TGAGGTCAGGTCAGGTCGAGTCGGGTCGGGTCGGGTCGGGTCAGGTCGGGTCGGGTCAGGTCAGGTCGGGTCAGGTCGGGGGGATGAAAAGAGGATTGACTGTCTTGTCTGCCAGCTAAGCCGAGAGGCCTGAGCATGTTGACCATGTCGGGATTGCGGCTGTCTATCGCTGTGGAGAGAAGTCCCGTCGAGGCGGCTATGGTGTCACCCAATCAATCAACATATGCGGTTACAGGCGCTGTGAGAGCAGACTCGTCACATTTGAATTTTCTTGGATGCATATGACCGCAATTACGGCGCATCCTGGATGTACCTGACCGCAATTACGTCTGAAAATCGGTCGGAGAAGTCTTTACAGTGTTAGTATGCCCTGAGGGCATTGTGAGCCAGCGGCGCAGAGGGTGGGACCCAAAAATTATAGCTGCAGTGACTGTGGCCAAAGTGGGACCCCGTAGTGGAGGGCGGGTGGAGGGTGGGGGGCAGCGGGGGGGGAGCGGGGGGAAGCGGGGGGGAGTAAGTGGCGCAGAGGTGGTACTCATCGGTATTTGTATTTGCAGTGACTTCAGTGGGACCCCGATTTGCAGCATTGCAAAACAGCCTAGTTACAGTCGTAATGATTATGCTAGCACCCAGCTGTGCAGACCGATCACGTCGGGATGGGAGGGGAGGGGACTGGGACGGGGGGTTGGGGGGAAGATGACTGTAGTTCGCGGCGACCATGATTCTCATCGGACCAGGCCCCAGTGATTGATGGGACCAATGGCAGCCACTGCACTTGGACGCAATTGTGGAAAAGTGGGGAACCCAACTATGGAAGCAGTGGCAGCTCCTGGACTGCGGCGCAGCTGTGCAGAACGGGGCGCGGCGAATGGGAGTCATTTACGCTGGGCCTCAGTCGCAGTGACTATATTGGGACCCCAGCTGTGCCATGGTGGGACCCAACCGTAGTTGCATTGTTGGCAGCGGCCATAGTCCGACGCCGATATGACAAATTGGACTCCACAAGTGGAACTGGAGTGGGGCCCAGAAGTGGGACTGGAATGGACCCACAAGAGGGGACTGAAGTGGGCCGCACAAGTGGGGGACTGGAGTGGGCCGCACAAGTGGGGGACTGGAGTGGGACGCAGAAGTGGGGGACTGGAGTGGGACGCAGAAGTGGGGGACTGGAGGGGGCGCCAGAAGTGGGACTGGAGTGGGACGCAGAAGTGGGGAGTGGAGTGGGCCCCACAAGTGGGACTAGCTTCGGCGGGAGTCAGGTGTCGGATATTGAAGGTTCGAAGATGATACAGTGAAGGTGATATTAGAGAATGGGACCGAGCTACAGGGGGCGGATACGTTACAGTGGCAGGGCAGTGAATGTGACCAGCGAAAGTTGACCACATTCAGGTATGTCCAGAGAGGTTCGGATGAGAGTGACCATGCTGGCTGGGGCTTTTTCAACTCTCTCTCTCTCTCTCTTTATCTTATATATAATATATATCTATATATATTTCGTGACAATGAGCAGGGTTTGGGACATGAAGGAAAGGGTGACTGAGCAGCAGCAGCAGGAGGAGGAGGAGGAGCAGAAAGAGGAAGCATCTTCTTAACTATGTGCAGAATGACATCCCACAGATTGGCGAGAAGGTGAGCGGAGTGGTTCCTAGAAACGGATTGGGAGGCCGCGGTGATGCGTTGGGAGGAGAGTGCGTTGGGATCGGTATGAGGGGGGGGAAAATCGAAATTGAGGTGGCTTGCAATCGCGGGAAATGAGGAGGAGATATAAGGAGGGGGGGGGGTATAAATAGGTGTGTAGTACAGCAACGGCCTGCATCAACGCCAAGAATTTGGGGTGCAGCGATGGCGGTGAGGAGAGTGGGAATCGAGGATGGTAGCTGGGAACGAGGTCCCAGTGGTGATGGTGAGAGAGTGGGAGGAAGTGGATTTTTTTTTCCGAGTACAGGATGGAAGAGAGACGGACGGCGGAGGAGAGTGCGGCCCAGGTGGGTAGTCCTTGGTCTGCAGAGAGGAACTTAGGAACTTAGACTTGTCGTGCTACGAAGATGAGGGTGTGTAGTCGCACTGGGGCTCTTTTTTCTGAATGCATTTGGCTGTAGTTGCGGTCAGATGCAGCTGCGTCGATGGAATCTCTGACTGCATTTGGCTGTAGTTGTGGTCAGATGCAGCTGCATCGATGGAATCTGAGTGTTAGCGCCGCCTTAATCTCAGGGAATCGGGAAGTTGGGGGCAGGCTGGAAAGGAGAGGGAAGATTGGCAAAATTAGTCTGCGAGCGGCTGCAACGGGTCGGTAGAAGGGGTAACAAGGAGGGAGGAGGGAGGAGGGAGGAGGGAGGGAGGGGGGGGAGAGAAAGGACTCAAATGCCGGTTTCCCATCTATCTGTGCAGCAGGTGGAAGAGGAGAATGACGTACCATCTGGACCGTCGAAAATGAAGTGAATTGCGGATCTTCGCAGGGGTAAACTCAGGGTACTGACTTGTTTCCCTCCCCTCTCCCTTCTCCCCCCCCCNCCCCCCCTCTCCCTTCACCTTCCCTGCCGCCCCCACCATCGACAGGTAGCAGAGATGAAGGGATATTGTCCTGCTGTCGCGAACTAACCTTTAAGAGAGGGTCCATCAGGGCTTGAACGCGGGGTTCCAGATTTAAAAATTTGGCAAGGTAGGACAGAGGGACAGAGGGACAGAGGGACAGAGGGACAGAGGGACAGAGGAGGATGTTGTCTACTGTGGTGGGAGACTTAAAATTTTAAAATCCAGCAAGGCTTAGGGCGTCGCTACACCACTCTCGAAATGTGAAAAAGACAAAAATGTGGCGGGTGCATCTGGCCATGTTCTAGCGGGAAGTTCATTCTCATTTTGCACATTTCTAGAGTGGTGTGGCGATGCCCTTAGAACTTGGGGCCCCAGAATTTTCTGACAGGCATAGAAGAGGCGGCAAGGTGGCAGGCGTAGGCAAGAGAAGGATGCAGGAGAGAGGAGGATGGATGAGAGAGGAGGATGCAGGAGAGAGGAGGATCCTGATGGCTGCGGGCGGAGAGTTAGCCTGAAGGTCTAGGAACACTCGAACTTTAAAGGGGGTCCAGACATTCTCACAGGCATGGTCACAGGCATGGAAGAGGCGGTTAGGTTGCTGTCATCGCCGGTGTGGGAGGGAGGGAGTTTGTTGGGGTTCCGCGAAGGCCGTACATTCAGCCAATCAGACGTTTCGGAATGGTAGAGCAGAGGAGGTGGGTTGGGTGGTGTCTGCCGTCTGCTGTGGAGAGGAAAGCAGAGCAAAGGTTTTTCTGGTTGATGAAGACGATTTGAATGTAGGGGCAGGAAATCTGTGGAACAGCTAGGAGAGAGGAGGATGTGCAGAAACGACTCACCTCCGGTCCAGGTGGGGTGGGGCTGCTGGTGGTGGCTGGGGAGAAGAGAGGGGAGAGGGGTGGGGGGAAAGGTGGGACAGTTAGGAGAGAGGAGGATGTGCAGAAACGACCCACCTCGGTCGAGGTGAGGTTGGGCTGCTAGTGGTCGCTGGAGGTGAGAGGAGAAGAGAGAGGAGAGGGTGGGGGGGAAAGGTGGGGGGGAAAGGTGGGGGAGGAGGGCGGGGAAGTGAATGGAATTCTGGTCCTTGGGGGGGTGAGGGGAGGGAGGGAGGAGGGTTGCGAGGAGAAGTGCGAGGGGCAGGGGATGGGCCGGAGCGGAGTGGGTTTCTGGTCCGTGCAGACTTGGAGTGGGGAAGTCAGTTGTGTTGTTGGACAGGTAGCAGAGTCGGATGTAGAGAATAACGGGCCACGCGCTGAAGTGGGAAAGAGAGATTTGTTGTTGACGAACAGTTCAACTCAGTGGGGCAACAGATTCCGTTGTTAAATAGATAACTAGCGAAAATCGCGAGAATTCAGTTTTCCTGATTTGGCAATTCAGTTTTCCTGATTTGGCTAACCACTTTGCTAACCATAGGGTTTGAGTTGAGTTGGTAAGCACTATGGCATTTTGAAGAGGCGAAGTTGATGATGCAGGATGCAGGAGTGATGATCTGGAGCAGAGTAGTGAATGTGCAGCGTGGCGGTAACCTGCGAAGCCGGGGCCAGGCTGCGCACATGCACATAGGGGCAAAATAGGCTTTTGCTAATCTGTTCCCGGACTATGCACATGGGAACGGATCTGACCTGCCCGGACGTGTGTGGCTGGGTTAAGTAAGCAGAGGGTGACTGATTGGTCCTGCTACCATAGTCTGTGACTGGGTTAAGGAGAGAGGGGGGGAGGGGGGATAACATTGGTCCTGCCGGCTACTGTAGTCTGTGGCTGGGGTACACAGATGGAGGCAAATTGGACCTTGTAATCATTTTGCAGCCAGGCTATGCAGGTGATGAGGAGAAATTTAAGTGGACCTGCTAATCTTCTGCCAGGCTACACAGATCAGGATGAATTGGACCTGCTAGCTGACTAATTTTTGGCAGGGCGAAATGCCAATCGGGCTTATATTGGACCTCAAGATTTGCAGCTGGGCTATGAGAACAGGGACAACTTGGACCTGCTACTCTGTGGCTGGGCTGATCCGCGGTCAGGCCTTGTCGATGCACATAAATTCAACCTGCTAACTGGCCGCGGGGCGAGTCTGTTACGGGGCTATGCTCCTGCGGACAACCTGTGGCGGTCGAGGCACTTAGAAGAATAAGTCTAGGAGTGGAGTACACACACACACACACAGAGGATCGAGTCCCAGACAAGGCTGTGTTTTGCATTGGCGGGTCGCCGGCTGGACAACGCTAGCGGCTGCCTCAGATGACGATCGGGAGCATGAAGCAGCAAGTAAGAGCGCGAGGGGGTGGGAGGAGGGGAGGCCGTGACGGCAATGCCTTCTCGGCGGGTGAGCGTGAAATAACTCGCCCTGTCTGACTGATGGAGCATGACACCCGTTAAGATGAGCATCAACGTTTGTGGAATCTCCTCTGTAATTCTTGTCTCTCAATAACGTGCTTCTGAGCAACATGTCCTGATCCTCGGCAATGCGGAGGTTTCTGAACTGCATATTGCGTGCAAACCCTTCCTGGTTCATGGCAATGTGAGGGTTTCTCAACTGCATGTTGCTTTCACTGTTTACAGTGGCGCTGCTCTTTGAATACGGAGGCTGCTATTCAGTACTGCTGTCGTTGCCCTTAATAACACTGTCGTTGCCGTCGTCGTTATCGTGAACATTGCCATTATTGGCATTTCCCTGCTGCTATCGTTCCCGCCATCGTTATCGTGAAACATTATCGTCATCGGCATTGCCATTATTGGCATTTCCCTGCTGCTATCGTTCCCGCCATCGTTATCGTGAAACATTATCGTCATCGGCATCTGTTCAGCACCAACAGCAGCAGCGGTCTTCCTCAATCGTCATCAACCATCGTCAATCAAAGGTGATGATGATCGTCATCAGCAGCAGCAGTAGCGGTAATGGGAGTGGGAGTATTGTCTCCGAGTCCTGTCCTTTGTTTGTCCCGTAATGCAGTGATTTGTCTGCTTGAGGACATTTTACTTTATGCAGCAGCAGTAGAAGGGTATTATCAGTATTGCTTGCTACCAATGAGCCTAGCTCAGTTGGGACACCCATGAACTGTTGAAATGCAGACCCAAGTTCGAATCCACATGATGGAACTAGATGAAGGGGAAAAAAAAAAAAGAAGAAGAAGATGAAGGGTATCAGTATATTCCGCAGGTTGTAGGAGGGACAGCTGTTTTCGCCGAATGATTTTGCTGAAAACTGAAAACTACCATGCCAGCCCCTTTTTTTTTTTTTTTTTTAATGCCAGCCTTTTTTGGCTTTGGGGGATTTGCGCCAGTCTCCAACTAGATGGTGATTGTTTCTGATCAGGGACCTGTTGGTTGGTTGGTTGGTTGGCTGGTGAGTCATTTCTGACAAGCAACATGCAGTCGATACTTCCGCTATGCTGATGCGTGGTCTATTTGGGGCAAAATGGTTAGATGGTCTGGTGGCTGCGACAGGAGCCCAGTTCACCGGATTGGGAACTGGGTGGACGCTGATTCATCACTAGGAGAGAGATCTTCATCCTTTTATATGGATTGGCAATTGATTAGAAGGGGGGCAGGAAGTGTAGAAGGGGACTCCGGAACTGGCCATGCGTGTTGGAGGGGAGGGCAATTTGCAATCATTTGGGGGACTCGTGGAGAGGAGAGAGATCTTCATCCTTTTATAATAGATTGATTGACAGTTGATTTGAAAGGGGGCAGGAAGTGTAGAAGCGGCCATGCGTGTCGGAGGGGAGGGGCAATTTGCAATCATTTGGAGGAGTCATGGAGGAGGGAGGGACCATTCATCATTCACACAGGCGCTCGTTGTTTCGTGACCATTGGCACCGTTTAGCGGCATTTGGTTAACAAGGGTCAGGAAGTGTGGAATCGACCCCTGGCTGTCTGTCTTACTATGCTGCTGCAGTTCTCGGGCGCGCCAAGTCGGGTTCTCGTACGCCGACCTGTTGTGATGAAGTGTAGGGGACGCGGATTACATCGCTGGCCTTTGCCGGGGCTGCTGTAAGTGTCAATGGTTGATCGTACGCCTAATCCGTAGCATAGGTCATAATAGGGAAGGAGTGGGAGCTACCAGGGGGGCGGAGAAAGGGGGCAGTGGAAGGGAATGAAAAGCTGGCTTGGCCGCTTTATAGAGTATTCTGTCATGTACAGTCGAGGGGAAGAAATAAAACCAATTGCAGCTTCATGACTTAAATGGGCTTAGGCATTCTTGTACTGTGTGTACGTCTCCGTTGTCCGGTACGATTCTCCTTACTCCTCTCTTCTATCCATCCCTGCCTCTCCTGACTGTTTGCCCATCATTACGTTTCTGGGGATTTTTTGCAGACTGCCCGGATGCTGAGGCCTTTAGCCAGCTGACGTATGACCGCTTGTTGTTGTCATAATGTCTGTATGCCTTGGAAGGAAGAGCAGCAGCAGCAGCAGGAGGAGGAGGAGGAGGAGGAGGAGGAGGAGGAGGAGGAGCAGTAGTACTAGTAGTGGGAGAGGGGGACCGAGGAGCACATCACATATCCAGCTCTTTGAAAGAAAAGTCCCTCCTTTGTCATTCTGAGGGGTTAACGATTGGGAGGTAGAAGAAGCGAAGGCAAGGGAGGAGAGGTGAGACAGGAAGGAAGGATAGCGGTGAGCATGCTGTGCCGGTTGCCTCTCAGCCGCCGAGTGATCAGGTCGGAAACGTTTTAGTGGCTAGGGAGGAAAGGAGATGGGACAGCGCGGGAAAATGGATAGGGATGGGACAAATGGGATCTCTGGAACTGAGTTGGTAACCTTTTTTTTTTTTTGAGTTTCCCTTCCTCAGGGATCGCGCTTGGAAGAAAAAAAAAACGACGTGGAGTAGGATTTCTTGGTAAGTGATCCACTACTCAGTTGCTGGCTGCCTGTGGTCCCCCCCCACCCCCCTGGAGGAGGAGCCTGACTACTGCTGTTTCCGCCCCCTGGAGGAGTAGCCTGACCTCTGCTGTTTCGCCCCCCTGGAGGAGGAGCCTGATGACTGCTGTTTTCCGCCCTGGACGAGGAGCCTGACTACGTACAGTGTGTAGCAAGATGGTGAAAATACGATATGCTTGTCATGAGTCGGGTTGCCGCACGCCGTAGGTTGGTCGGACTTCACTCTTTAGTAGTGAGATGTTTGGTTGCACTTCCCTCTTAGTAGTGAGATGTCCCGATGTGAATGTTGTCCTGGAAGGCTTGAACAATGGAAGATGGAAGACGAAGGTCAGTGGCAAACCCTGCAATTATTGTTTGTTTTATCAGCTGCTAAACCATCTATTTGTTTGATTGATTAAGTCTTAGAAGAAATTCATAARTCTTAAATCCGTTTGGACAAATCATGTCGTCAACAAACAAGTGCAATGCGTCAGAAAGCTGAATGGAATATATATACATATATATATATATATATATCGTCAAATAGAACTGCCCGGTAAACCGTAGGCAGAGAGGGAGAAGAGGACAACAAACGAGGGGCTGTGACAAACTGTTTC